TTTGTCCGGAGCTGTCGGTGTGTCAAGCTCTCTGCCCTTCCACCTGCTGACACGAAGGCAGAGCCTCGGCACACAGTCCAGGTTGCACAGGGCGGTTACATGCCTCACACAAGTGACTCAGTGCCCCTGAGCCACAGTCTGCTGGAGCATGTTAGCAGAGCGGCTAGGTATCGCAGCAGGATTTAGCCTAAGGCACACAGCAAGCAAAGCACACAGTAATGCTAAAAAACAAGCCGCTGGTATGCACTCAGGCCTGCCTTACCTGGCTGTCTGAAACATAGCACACCTGGGATAGTAATAGTGCCCACATTTCTGACCTTGTGGCCCTTATAATCACAGCCATTGTTGGACTAATGCAGGGGTAGGGGAGAGCTGAAACTAAAAGGTGACCTTGTCTGTGGTTACCCCATGAATCCATCCACGAGAGACCTGGATATAAGTGAGTCTCTTAACTCCTGGGGAATGTTGTACTCTATGTTCTGATGTACATGACAGCCAGTGGCCTCAAAGACCCTCCCACCCAGACTGATGGGTACCATGATGTTCGGGAACTGCTCACTATAGAGACAATGTAGCAACAAGGGTCAGAAGCCAAGGCCTGGGGTTGGAGGGAGACTTGGCCACTAGTCCAGCCATGCTATCTACGGCGTGTAGCCCCACAGGGCTGGCCCAATTTGTCTTCTCACCTAGGAAGCGGGATGACAGAATTCTTGGCACTGCCCCTCTCCAGGGCTTCTTTGACTCCACCCAAGGCCAGTCATCTCAGCCACTCCTCAAAGAAGGTTTGCTGTGCAGGCTCTCTGCCCAGCAGATAGGTTTGCTTATGGAACCCTCCCAGCAGATATCTGCAACTCCAAGGCATGAAGGAGCATTGAAAGCCTGGAGCAACTAAGAACATCAGTGCAGCGAGGATACCTGGGTAGGACTTGTACTCGGCTCATCGGCTCCGGCTCCGTAGGCCTGCCTCTGTCTGGTGCTAGAGGAAGAGGAGCCAGAGCCTGTGGCCACCTGCGGAGCAGCAGGACTGCATGGTGAAATCTCACATTGCTTCCACTCAGAGCACTTCTGACAAAAGACAGCACGGTGGCTCGGTCCCTCTGCATCCCGGCGAGCCTCCAACTACTACCCCAGGCACTGGCCACTTACCTCTTAGCACAGGTGATCCAACTAGCCCAAGTTAGGTACTGTCTCCCTCTGGTCCTGGCTACTCCAGCGCTTCCCCTTTCCTCCTCTGTAAAATCACAGTGATCATCATGTAGTTGTGAAATAATGACCTTCCAGTGCTGCACTGAGCAAGGGTAGAGGCCTCGGGGAGGTTGAGATTCAAGGGACTGGGACTTACAGCCCTTTCTCAGGTAGAACACCGAGGAAGTTGCTTGGAGTGTCTCCAGAGCGTTCTGTGCCGTGAAATGATGACCACGAGCTACAAAAGGGGCCACAAGCCACAGGAGGAACCTTTGCTACCTCCTGACACGGGGGCAACAGAGGAAGAGACAGGACCAAAGTCATGGAGCCTGGATTGAGGGGACAGGTGGTAGGAGGCACGAGGGAGGACGGGGAGTACCCAGTGCCATCGGGGCCAGCTGCAAGCACAATGCGACCCCTGCAAAAGGAGGCTTCCCTCAGGTTACCTGCGATTATTTTTCTACCATGTGGGAGAACAGAGAGAAATCCAAGGCAGGCCAAGTCAGACGTGGTGGTTCAGGCTGGTAAACCCAGCATTCAGAAGGCTGAGAAAGGAGGGTGGCTTGGGTTCAAGGCCAGTTTGAGCTACAGATCCTATCTCCAGATCCTATCTCAAGACAAAAACATGAGGTTAGCTTCCTCACTGACTTCCGTCTGTAAACAGCCCAAGGCATGAAGATGTCACCATGTCTTTAGATTTTTTTTTTTTTCTGAGACAGGGTTTCTCTGTGTAGCTTTGCGCCTGTCCTGGAACTCACTCTGTAGCCCAGGCTGGCCTCGAACTCACAGAGATCCGCCTGGCTCTGCCTCCCGAGTGCTGGGATCAAAGGTGTGCGCCACCACCGCCCGGCGTCTTTAGATTTTTATGGGTGGAGGGTGGGGGAGTGTAAAGAGAGACCACTGGGCCTCACCCACCCTCAAACCCCTCTCGCTTTTCACTGACCTCCTGTTCCAACCATGTGAAGCAGAGGTCTGTTCCCTCTTTCTTTAGACCTCAGTGAATTCATCAGCACAACTTCAAGGAATGGAGTCAGAGCTGGGTTCGAGATCAGCCCTGCCCGGGCAAATCCATTTTCCTTCTGGCCAAGTCTCAGCCTCCGGAATGAAACGGATGCTGAGTAGGACTGGGGGTGGACGGACTATGGAGGCCACAGCTATGTGTCAGACACTGCTTTTTAAACAGACTGGACTGCATCGGGGTTTAACTAACAAAACAACCAAGAGAAAGAAGTTTATGTTGAACTGTGTAGATCCCCAGGGCTGGGTTTTGCAATCAGCCTAGGGGTGATAAGTTTTGACCTTCCCCCATAGTCCTCTTGCCAGGACTAATAGTCTCCTCCTGTCCCAGTGGTAGAGGGGAGCAGGAGGGCAGTCGTAAGGAAGCAGGTTGGGGTGGGTGAGGGAGCAGTCTGTCAGGCTTGGCTCCCAGAGGTCTGAGTCAGCGGGGCAGGCAGGGCGGGCCCAGTCCACACATGCTATGGGAAGACCGACCGGGCACAGGAATGTTCCTCCTGTCCAGGCGAGGGCCCTGCCCACCACATCCTGGCCCCTTCTCCCTTCTGCCTTAGACGCTGCAACTCAGCTGCAGACAGGGGATGCTGCAAAGCCTGGAGCTGTGGCTGGTGGGTTCTGCCAGGGGCCTTCAGAACAGCCTGGTCCTCAGGACTGGCTCAGGGTGAACAAGGCCTGACCAACCTGGCCGGGACTGGGCTCTGGCCCCAGAGCATCCCCCACCCTGCTGGGTGAGGCGGCCAGGTACCATCTTCACTGGGACTCAGGGTCACTCTTCTGAACAGTAAGTTGAACTTGGTACTGTGGATCCATTCTGCCAAGACACCCAGACCCCTAGAGCACATGCCTGTATGTGGCACTAAAAACTTGCTCTGCATCCGATCTGGGACACAGACCTCTGGGTTGCCTGTCCCTCAAAGTTCTCTTGAATCTCTAATAAATCTAATGAATCTTCAAGGGACCCACGAAGTGACATTGACATGGTACAAACAAACACCTTTGTTTCATACTCATGTGATCCTGGCTGTTTAAGGCTGTTACTGTGTGCCGAGGACTTGTTGTGATGAGACATATCTGAACAGATGGCAACACACATGTGGTCACAGCTGGGAATACATGATAGAGTATGTGAGTAGCTCAAGTGTGAGTGGCCACATGCAGCCTTCGGACAAGTACATGACTGTGTGCCTTTGTGTCTGTGGCAGTACAACTACAAGCAAGGGACTGTGTCTGAAGCTGCCATGCCACAGCTATGGCACAGAAGCCCACAGATCTCCTGCATCCTAGCAGAGACAGGATGCAGAATCTCAGGTCTCTCCATCCCCCATCTCTACATAAGTACAAAGCAGACTCCTTTTCCAGGGCTGGGCCAAGACTGGGAACCCAGGGGTCCCAACCCCCATCCCAGGTTCTGGTAGCTGCCCAGGACAGAAAAAGAGGCCTTGTTTTCCAACCCTCTCAGAGCAAAGTGGGGGAGGGAACCAGAGGCAGCTGGGCCCAGCTCAGTCTGGAACATCTGCCCAGCATGGGACTAAGGTCAACAAGCCCTGTCACCACAGCATGCCCACCCCCCATACTCCCCCAGTCTCCTGCTGGGGGACACTCTGCCCAGCTCAGAATGATCACAAATCCTTCCAAAGCATACAGATAGAAAGAAACCAGAGACTGGGACTGGGACAGCCCCATTCTCCATACACCTGCTACTAGCCAGAGACCTCAGTGTCAACTGAAGCAGGACTGGTCTATCTCTACCCTTCACTTCATCTTTTTTTTCTTTCTTCTTTTTCTTGTTGAGACACCAGTTCACTGTGTAGACCAGGCTGGCCTCGAACTCACAGAGATCCACCTGCATCTGCTGGGATTAAAGGTGTGTGCCACTACACCTGGCTTCTAGTTTTCACTTTCTGATTCTTCTCCGAGGTCCACCTAGGGAGAACCCACCATCGTGATTACAGGAATGGGAGGTGGTTCCTTCTCAGCAGAGGGACACAGGAGGGCAATGCTATCCCTTGGGGCAGGAAGTGTCAGCAGGGGGCTTTCCAGGCATCGTGGGTGAAAAGGAACATTCCAGAGGGCCTCAGGAAGGAGCCCTACCCCCACCCATGCTCAGTTTTCTCTACAGAAAACGACACGGAGGTCAAAGCTGAGAAGAGCCTGAAAACAAGAAGTTGGTTCCTTTAACAGTAGGAAAATAAAGGCAAGCAAGGAGGGAAGAATTCCTCAGAAAGTCCCAAATCTGACCTAATTTTGACCCAGAGCCAAGGGGCTCCGTTCCAAAAGTTCCTGTAAGGACACTATGGCCTAAATGAGGCCCATTCCTCACCCCCTGCCATGAGCTCCTCAGACTCTGACCTGACCAAAACCCTCCCTGGTGAAGCTGACCCTGGAAAATCCCACTGTCTCTGAAAGAGGACCAGCTCCTCAGTGCTCTTTCCGCATGTGGAAGAATTATTCCAGGTCACCAGGGCACACCCAAGGGCATGGAGATGGGTCTTCTTTAAGTTCTAAAATGGGAGCCACTGCAGGGGTGGGCACCTAAGACTGACCAAGTGTCTGCCTCCCCTGTGCTGGGCTGGAGTTTTCTACGGACAGCTCCCTGGGACAGGCATCAGCTGGCACAGTCTCATACTCTTCTACAACACTCAGCATAAGACTGTGACACCTGGAACCGCTGTACAGGACTTCACCCATTTTGAAGATAGAGGAGGAGCTGGCAATATGGCTCAGTCAGTAAAGTGCTTGGAGCATAACCGTGAGGACCCGAGTTCAAATCCGAACCATCGACATATGCAAAAAGCCAGAACTTGGGCATGACCACACGTCTTTAATCATAGTACTGGAAGGCAAAGGCAGGTGAATCTCTGTGACTTCCAGGCCAGCCAAGACTACATACACACCGATTATCTGTAATCCCAGCATTAGGGAGGCAGAGACAGAAGGATCCCTAGAGTTCACTGGCCAGCCAGTCTAGCTCAATTAGTAAATTTCAGACCCATGAGAAGCTCAAAAAATAAGGTAGCATGGCTGAAGATACCCAATGTTGATCTCTGGCTTCCTAGAGCACTTCCCCCCAAATACACACACATACACACACACACACACAAAATGATGATCTCTGGCCTCCTGGAGCACCTCCCTCCAAATACACACAGACACAGATACACACACACACACACACACACACACACACACACACTGATATAATGTTGATCTCTGGCTTCCTAGGGCACCTCCTCCCAAATACACACAGACACAGATACACACAGGCACGCACGCATGCACGCATGCACCGAAGCACAGGCAAACAATGAGGAGACCCAGGTCTGAGGAGGCAATGGAGCCAGCTGGGGGTGTGTTGCTCCAATGTTCTGAAGTTATGAATTAACTTTAACCCCACCAACATCACTGAATCCAGTCCAGAGGGGCAGTTTGGGTTCTGTTCTTCCCCCCAACTCTCACTGCTCCCAGGATTCTGAAAGAAAAGACCGTGCTTCTGTTACAGTAACTGTAAAAGGTTTATCAAGAGAAAAGAGTGAAGCAGCAGGACCCAGGAGCAGACCATGGTTTCCAGGAAGGCAGTGGGGACAGGGTCACTTCCCAACAACATGCTGCTGGGCCGCATCCTGGCCTGAAGGGTAAGGGGGCAGTAACTCCTGGATGTAAACATAGGTGGGTGGTAGCACAACCTGTGAGTGAGTCTGGCCAGAAGCAGCAGGTCTAAAGTTCCCAGTTTCTTTCTCTCTGACTTCCCACTGTGCAATGAGAAGGATTTGAGAAGACCAGCCCACAGAAGCAAAGGTGTCTGGGAACTTGGGACCTGGACCTGCTAGAATGGGGAGTTCCTGCTGGTCACTTTTGCGGGTTCCTCCGGAAAGGCACCACCAGGGCTCTGTGCTTCCTGGCTTGAACATCTTGAGCCCAGAGAAGGGAAAGTTGCTGCAGAGTCCCCTCAACAAGGAAAAGTAGAGGGGAGTCCCCCAACCAAGGTAGAGGGGAGTCCAAAACTTATAGGAGGGAGTTGGCCTGCAGTCCCTCCTGCGGAAGCGGTACAGCAGGGAAATCCAGGGACCACGGAGCAAGGATGATCCCTCCCTCTGTCAGACTGACCAGAACCCATGGAGAGGATATCAAATTTGTTTGGAAAAGGTGAAGAAGAAGAGAGACAGCATTGGTCCTCTCCCCATGTCCTTCACCCATTTCCTGTCTTGTAGGTCCTTGCAATTCTTCAAGATATTCTGGAATGTCACCTCCTCCATGGAGCGTCCCCTGCCCAGCAGAGTTCTGCGGTCCTTCAAGGAGTTTCCATGAATCCTTAAATGTCACTGTCACACTGCAGTGTCTGATATCCTCTTCTGGGACAGGCATGTTCCAGGCTTGGTCACTAGTGTCTCAGCCATGGCCACAGCAGTCAACAGAGTCCAGGGAATAAACAGGGTGTGGTGGCCAGGCGAGCGTGAACTACCGGCTACAGAGACTCCTGCTCTCTAGGGACTGACCAGCAGCCCAGGCTTTGGCTCAGAGGACTCTATCTCCATTCACCCATCTCTAAAGTGAGGGAAGACTTCTCCAGGGGTACCAGGACTTCTCCAAAGTCCCTTCTCTTCTAACAGGCCACTCGCCTCTCCCACTCCTGAGCACCTGAGCCACTGCTAGGGGCAGGGAGGCTTGGAGTAGGGTGGGCTGCAGGGACTAGGTCAGGCTGGGAAGAGGACCTGCACGTGTGGGTGTGGTCAGAGTCTCTGTCAGAGATGGTCGTACATGCGCAGCGTCTTCTCCAGCTGCTGGCCCACCCGCTGGTAGAAAAGGATCTGCTGGCGCAGGTAGCTTTGCATCATATGCTTGAAGTCAAGCTCACGGCGCTGGTGGAAGTGGTTCATCTCAGCCTGCAGGGCGAAGCCCACCACGCGGCAGCGCCTGCGGATGCCGTCTGCCTCTTCCTGAGCCATGCGGCCCTCGTCACTCATGCGCTGGCTCTCCTTCACCTTGGCAAAGGCACCTGGCAGGAGAGCACAGAACAGGCAGGTCAGGGCCTGGACCTCCCCACTCACTCCCTGTACATCCCTCTAGTCTCACAAAGGAGAACTACGCCTCAAATGTCTCCACCCAGACTTCCTCCTGAACCCACCCGACTGTCTCCATCAGGACATGACATCACTGGCCTCTCTCTTCCAAGAAAGCCTTCCGTGTGCCCTATGGTCTCTGGGGCTCCCCAACGTCTTGTATCTTAGCTATCGCACTCTGGCTGGTTGGCTTACCCTGAGTTCGGGGACTGTCGTGTTCCTCTGTTCCCCAGGTCCCACAAGGTCTGGCCCACGCAGATGTGGACCCTGATTTGAGAGTCTATCTCACAGTACCCAAAGTTGCTCCCTAAGCTGGATGCTGTGCTGGCTCTTCACTGCCTACAGAGGACAGTCCACACCCAGTGCCCTGCCCAGGAGGCCTCAGGGAGTTGGCTCTTGCACAGGTGACTTCCACAGTGTCACCGTGTCCATGCAACCCTCCCAGTTCTTTCCTATCTTACCCCTGCCTGCTGGATCTCTATCCATAATTCAAGGCCTAGATCAGGTTTGACTTCTACACTGAACTCTCTCCCCAGGGCCCCAGGCAGAATGCCTCCCAGTGCACCTGTCCCCAGCCTGCTTTCATACAGCTGATTCTAACACTGCACTTCAAAGGCCACCTGGTATGTCTCCCTTACAGACAAGCCCCGCCCACTCTTCACCCCTGTCCCCATAGAACCAGAGGAGACTGTAATGATAAACAGGTGACAGATGGTCATAGAAAGGGATAAACCTGGGCAGGGGCCTTAATCAGGAAGAATTGGACTGAATCAACAAACGTTAATGAGTTCAGTTTTGAAGAACAGGCAGGTGACTATCTTCGCCTTTAAGCCGGTTGTGGAGAAGAGGAGGGAGTGTGTCCGTGGGCACTCACTCTCAAAGGACAAAAGGGAGTCCCCAGTGCAAGGGGGGCCTCACCCCACTTTTCCTTCTGTTGACTGTTTTGTTCTTTTAAGATTTATTTCGTTTTTAATTATTTGTATTTGGGGAGGAGAGTACATTTATGTGAGTGGCAACGGAGGCCAGAGACTCAGATCCCTCCAGAGCACCTGCACCCCCTGGAGTTACCAGCAGTGGTGAGCCGCCTGACCTGGGTGCTGGGAACTAAACTTGGGTCCTCTGTAAGAGCAGCATATACTTTTAACCACTGAGCCACTTCTCCAGCCCTTCCTTACTTTTATTAAAATTTATTTTATTATTTTATGTGTATGAGTGTTTGCCTAGATGTATGCCTGTGGATCACATGCATGCCTGGTACTGTGAGAGGCTAGAAGAGGGTATCAGATCCCCTGGAACTGGAGTTATAGATGGTTGTGAGCCACTCTGCAGGTGTGTGGGTCGCACCTGAATCCTCTGGGAGAGCAGCCGGTGCTCTGAACTTCTGAGCTATCTCGCCAGCCCTTCTTTTGTTTTGTTTGGAGACAGGGTCTCATGTAGACCAAGCTGATCTCAAACACACGTGTTACTATACTCCGTTTATGAAGACTGACCCCAGGGTCTTGTGTATGCCCAGCAAGCACTCCACCAAATAAGACACATCCCCAGCCCATGCCGCTTCTTCTACATGGTACTCTTTTAATTCTCCCTGAAGTTGTCAGAAGTATTCAAAACGCACTTACTGGGCACTTCCCATATGCCAGGGCTTTACATACTGGATGGGACTCCAGATACCCTTATCAGAGACAGCATCTCGATCAGTGAGCAAGAGCAGAGCTAAATGGTGACGAGTGGCATTTCACACAACGCCTCAAGTTTGGAGAGAGATGCTTCCATAGTACCCAAAAGAAATCTGGAGCTCCCAGCTTTCAGCTCACTCAGGCCTTCCGACACCTTCCCTCGATCATCACCTGCCTCCTGTTCCATCCTGATAGTCCAGCACAGTCTTGAGCACAGGAGGGAACACAGTAAGAGAGTTCAGAGCTGAAGAGACCCTCAAGGGCAGCTGTTTGATCCCACCACAACTACTGAAAGAAAAAACTAAGATCTTGAGGAGACTTGCCTCAGGCCTCCCAACCCCCTTCCTGTAAGTGGAGGATGCCTGGCCCTCCACATCTGAGGGATGGACACCATCACGACTACAAAAATCCTATGGAAGGCCTCCAGACAGTGGACACAAGTATCCAAGAAGGTCACAGTGGGTAGGAGGGACCATAAGAAGAAATAAGAGATCAAGACAAAGAAAGTGAAGCTAAGCTTCAGCAAACAGTCTACCTGAAGCAGAGAGCCAGGAGAAGTCTGAACTCCACTGGCCTGCCTGGTTGAGTCTGGGAGCAGTGCTGGCAGATCAGCACTCAAAGGAAGATCTTCTTGGGACTGGAGAGATGGTTCAGAGGTTAAGAACACTTGACTCCTCTTCCAGAGGATCTGAGTTTGATACCCAGCACCCACATGGCAGCTCCATGTAATTCCAGCCCCAAAGGATTGAATACCCTCTTCTGACCTCCACAGGTACCAGGCATGTGTGTGGTACACAGACATACATGCAGGCAAAACACTCATACACATAAAATAAATTAAAAAGATTTTTTAAATAAAGTTTTTTTTTTTTTTTTTTTTTTTTTTTTTTTTTTTTTTTTTTTTTTTGAGACAGGGTTTCTCTGTGTAGCCCTGGCTGTCCTGGAACTTGCTTTGTAGACCAGACTGTTCTCAAACTCACAGAAATTCACCTGCCTCTGCCTCCCAAGTGCTGGGATTAAAGGCATGCGCCACCATGCTCAGCAAAGAAAGATTTTTATGTCTGGTCTACAGAGTGAGATCCAAGACAGGCACCAAAACAACACAAAGAAACCCTGTCTCGGAAAAAAAAAAAAAAAAAAAAAGACTAGCCTGGGGTACAAAGCAAGACCCTGTCTCAAAAAAGGTGGAGGAACAGCAACTGCTACCACTGGAGTGGAAAGATGGTGAAGCACACTTGTTGCTCCTGCAAAGGACCAGAGTTCAGTTGACAGCTCACAACTGCCTGTAACTCCAACTCCAGGGCATGCAACACTCTCTTCTGGCCTCTGTGGGTACCCGCACTCATGTTGATATGTTGATCTATCTATCTACCTATCTATCTACCTATCTATCTATCTATCTATCTATCTATCTATCTATCTATCTATCTATCTATCATCTATCCATCCAAACACACAGACACATGCCGATACACATAATTAAAAACAAAGCTAGAGGAGGAGAGCAGCAGCATTCGCTGCTTAGGTGAAGGATTACATAAGGCTGAACCTATCTGTCTCCTAGTCAAGAGCTTGCACCTACAGGAACTACCTACCCTCCTTTAGCTAAGCCACTCGCTCCATGGTTCCTCAGGATGCTCTGGAGTCCCAGACCTGCCTCGGGTACACAAAGCCCACAAACTGAGGAGCGCTGGAGTAAGAAACCCAAGCCTCCTTCCTTCCTCCTTTCCCTTCTGCACCATCGACCTCAATTGTCCAGTCCTTGGGAAGTTCCTACCTCTGTCCGCCTCATACAGGAGATTCCAACACACTTGGCCCCACACCTGCTCCGCTATCAAATCACCTAGGGGTGCTTATCTGTGAAGCTGAAGGGACCATACCAGCTACTTAGTGTGACTGGCTTAAGACTGACCTCTGACCTTGCTGGCTCTCAGGAGAGGACTCTGGGTCCTGGCTTGCTCTTGGCAGTCAACGATCCCCCCTTTCTGTGGCAGGATAGCTATTAGTAGGTTTTTCTTCCCCCAAATGACCAAGTTGGCAGAATAGACCTGGAGAGCTCAGCTTAGCTCCAGATTCCATGTCAAATTAACATGGAGACTGGGGGGAGAAAATTCTCCAAGGTCACCCTATAGGTGAGGTCACCCTATAGGTGAGGTCCCTCCAAGCCCTGTTTCCTGACTCCCCACCCTCCCCCAACTGTTCCCTCACATGCTCACCGTTTGTTCAAATGTCTAGATGGGACAGACTGATCATGTGACCCAGAACCAAATGTCCTGTTACTTTCTCCGAAGAAAGCCTCTATCTACAAGGCTAGTACAGGATGTTCTCCAGCAGCAGTTCTTCCAAAGCCTGCCCACTTCTGTCTTAGACCAACTCCAATCCCTCCTCTCACTCACTCTAGACTCAGGCCAGAACTCAGAACCTGGAGTGAGCAGGGCTTGCACTGCAGGAGGCAGATACAGGCAGCATCCGCTTCAGGCTGCAGGGTCTCCCCAGAAGGCAGAAGCCCCTGACTCTAAGAGACATCTCAAGTGGAGACTGAGACAAGGCCTCCCTACCTGTCTGCCTATCTGAGGTAGAAAGGACAATATAGCTTTTTTCCCCCTTCTTCTTCGATGACAGCCTGGGAACACTGGGTGTGTGGACATGTGATTGCCCTCTTGCCCCAACTCTGTTCTAAGTGAGAGTTGCCAGCCACTGCGTCGGGGTAGCTGTTTAATCATTGTGCCTGGCCTCTTGCTGCCCACACAAAAACATGCCATCCAAGGAGCTGGTTGAACCAGCTTTCCCAGGCCCAGCACGGTGTGTGGCTCCACTTCCACACAGGAAGGCACCTGCCCCTGCCAGGCTGGGCCCCTGCTCTGAGTGCAAAGCCAGATCTATGGGAGCAGCCAAAGGTGCAGGGCAGGCCTTCCCCAGTAGTCTCTACCTCAAAGGCCTAAGAAACTAAGCCCCAAGAAGGCAAAGGCCCTTCCCACCCAGGGACACAAGGCAAGCTGGGTGCAAAGTCAGGCTAGAACTCAGGCTTTGAGTCCCTGGGGCTGAAAGGAGGAGAAAAATAGGTGGAGATGTGAGGGTTCAGCAAACAGAAGAGGCAAAGGAAAAGGTGAAGGGGGAAGGTGCCTGGCAGCTAGAGTTCTGACAGCCACCTCAGGGGCCTGAGGGCAGGGGTATCATATTTGCTGTTCCCTACACTCAAACCAGAGGGCCACCCAGAATAAAACTCCTTGACCTCAGGGCCTAGGGTCCGGGGAACCAGCCCCACACCCTGAATATATTCTTCCTGAGTTACCGCCCCAGGGAGGACCACACCTCTCCAGTGACGTCTGCCTTCTCTAAGTCCCCGGACTCAGTCACCTGCTAGGCCAGCCCCTGACTCAATTCTTACGTAAGAGAAGCCCAGCTTGGGAAGGGAAGAGAGACTGACTGGCCCTTGTGAACAGAGCCCTGGACCCCTGGTTCTATTCCCCACTGCCCAGCTTAGTGCCCCATGTGACCCAGGATGAGTCACTTCACTGGCAGTTCCTCAACAGGCAGGGGCTCATCCGGTCCCTCCCCCACACAGGGGGCCATGAGAACTGAAAACATGATGGACCTGGGAGGCGGCCAATATGGATATGTCCTTGGGGAGCTGGAAGGAGGAAGGGATAGTCCCAGCTGATCCACAACCACTCTGCTGTGGACAGAGACTTCATGGGCAAAAGGAGGACAGCGATCCTCCTGCACAGACAGGGGCTAGCCCACAGGGCAGAGGGGGAGGCTGGGCTCAAATGCTTCAAAGGTAGCAGCGGAGCCTATGAGACAGCCTGCAGTGTGCTCTTGCCTGTGTCTGTCTGGGTCCTCCTTCAACCCATGAGTTCATATAAGGCAGAACCTGGGATCTGTTTATCTCTGTGTTCCCAGAATCTTAGGGTTCCATGTGTGATAGGGTCAATGAGACACAGAAAAAGCAGAGTGGACAGGAAGGTATACACAGAGCTCAGTGAGAACAGAGACCAAACCTGTCCACACTCCCTAGGCCTACAACAGCACTCTAGAGAATCATCTCAGTACATTTGTTGAGCCAGCGATGGAGACCAAGACAGGAAAATGTGATGAGCTGTTCACTGTAGTACAGGCTGTCCTCATATTCCCAGGGACCAGTAGAACGCCACACTCAGGAAGGGCTTACCTTTTTGCAGGTGGATAATGTCAGGAAAGTTGGAGAGCAGGCCCTGGTAGAGAGACAGTGTGTCAAGCATTTGGAAGAGGTCATTTTTGGGCTGTTCGGCAAACATCTCACCAACAGTTTCATAGGTCCGGCCGGTGTGAGAAATGGCATTGTTGAGGGCCTCGGAGCTAAAGGGAGGATCCATCTGGAAGGCATGGCTAATGGCCTGGAAGGCACTTCCTAGCTTCTGGAATTCCTTGCGGAAGCCTCCCACATGCTTCCGCACCAGCTCTGATGCCACAGTGCTAAGCTGCAGGACGCTGTCATCCATCTTCTTACTGAAAGCCTTGAATGTATCCACGCGGTCCTCTACGTCCTGCAGATCCTGGTGCTCTGTGGGGATCTGGAAGGTGAGCAGAAAGCTGGCACCCACCATCTCATCCTTCTCCGCCCGGCGTTTACCCATCTTCCACTGTTTGTCATCTAGGCAGCTGAGGAAATGCTGGAAGCCCTCATACTGAGAGAGCACGGGGTGGCTAGTCATGTGGTCCATCCAGAGGATGAGTCGTCTCTTGCGCTTCTCAATGAAGTCCTCCTCGAAGCGGCCAGTGGCCTGCTTCTCAGGCAGGTGGGGCACAGAGATTACAGTGAACTTGTGTAGAAGGCGGTTGTAGAGCCAATCAAAGTGTTTGTAGCGCCGGTAAACAGGTGAGCCAGCATGGGTGGGTGTAAGCTTGTAGGAGATGTAACTTTTGATGCCTTTGAACTTGGTCTGTTTGGTGGGGTCCTCTACGGAGCAGGCAAATGGGTGGGGGTTGGCCTTCCACTGAGGGCCACGAGGGCCCATCTCAATGGAGTATGTCTCAGCAATCTTGGCCATCATGGGCACATCACCAAGGATAAAGGCCTCCACTCCAGAGCGCACAAAACATGAGAAACGATTGAGGTTTCGTCCCACCACACTGCCCCGCTTGGCAGACGCTAGACTGTCCTGCCTTTCCAAGGGTGCCTTGGGTCGGAAAGCCATGTGCTGGCTGGGATAGGCACCCGGGTAGGAAAGGTTGAGTGGAGGGTGCCCATTGGTACCGAGGCCACCAGCCCTTGGCTCTTCTACCACTGTGCATCCATCATCCCAGTCATCCCAGTCATCACCATCATCCTCCTCCTCCTCAAAGCTTCCTTGGTTTGAGAGAAAGCCACTGCCCCCACCACTCCTGGCTTGGCTGGCCATACTAGGGCTGTTATACAAACTCACTTGGGTGCCCAGGGAGCCTGCAAGGCTGCTGGGGTAGTCCACATGGTTGGTGTTGATGCCAGGACGAACAATCTCAACGTAAGAAGCAGGGAAGAGCCCTGTCTCCCCACGGCTGTTCTGCCCCTGCAGCCATCCATCCAGTGAGGTCTCACTGAAGATAACCAGGTCTTCATCCTGCTGGATGTTTATTTCCTCCTTGTTCTCACTGTGGAAATCATAGAGGGCTCGGCCTTTCAGTGCCATGGCTAGACTACTGGGCAGGTCAATATTGGAAGGAAAATACCTTGCCCGGACTCAGGACTCAGGATGCTCAGCAGGGTGTCCAAAAATGTACTTGCAGCTCCAAGTCTAGTATACCTTACTCAGACCCTCAGGCAGGGGTCTCGGCATGCACAAGATGCGGTCTAGCTGCCTTCTCTTCAAAGAAATGTCCATGGTCCAGAAACAGCCTTATCCAGCCTTGGGGTATCTGCCTGTAAACAGGGAGGGGTTGGTCATGACCACAGTCTTTCTTCCCTCCCTTGGCAGCCCATGAGAGGGAGGGAGTCACTCCCTCCTCTCACACCAAGTAGAAAAGTCAAATGACCTGGAGAAACAAGCTCTGCTAGAACAAGAATGCGACAGACACTTTCCACTAGAACAATGTTGTACAACTGAAAAGAATCAGCCACGGACCACGGTCCCAGGAACGCAGGCAAGGTTCTGCCTCCCCGGCTCTCCGCTCCTTTGGGAGGCTCTCACATTCCTCTGAAGATCTGTTCCTTCCTCCTTCCTCTCTCGTCCCTGGCCACCGCGTCTTCAAGAATCCAGAAAATCCAAGAGGGGCGAGGAGAATAACAGCAGAGTCCTGAACCAATTCCAAGGGTGGATGTGTCCGGCCTCCAAACGAGCCAGGCCGGGAAAACAAGGGCCAAAGCTTGCACAACCGGAGGATAACTACACGACCTAGGGGGTGCGACCCTGCCTAGCCCGCTCTGGTGCCCTCTTCCCGCCCTGCAACTGGCTAGCCCCCCACCCCCAGAGAACAAGGGGGCGCGACAAGCCGCTCAGAGGACTTCTCTCTCTCTCTCTCTCTCTCTCTCTCTCTCTCTCTCTCTCTCTCTCTCTCTCTCTCTCTCTCTCTCTCTCTCTCTCTCTCTCCCTCTCTCCCTCTCTCCCTCTCTGCCTCTTTTGTTTGCCCTAATTCCTCAGCAGTTTCGGAGTACTAAGCTGACCCTGATCCGAGTCCCAGGACCCCTGTCCAGAGGTAACACTAGTAGAAACCTCCACCATCACCACCCCCACCACTGGTGTGCCAGCAAACACTTAACAGTAGTTGGTAGATGGAGTTCCTTCGAATAGATGGCGCGGCCGGCTGTTTGTCCGGCCGGCCGGCGGTTCGTTCTCCGCGATGCCCGGGGGGATGCTGCCCGAGAGGGATGAGCTGAGCCCCAGCCTCCTGCCTCCTTCTCCCCCGCACTTGCAGCCCCTCAGCGCTGCCAGCGGGAAGCCAGGTCCAAAACAAAACAAAAATCCAAAAAGAGAAGAAAAAGAAGTCCAGGAGGTGGCGTCCCGAGGAAGGAGGGGACAGCAGTAGGGGAGGTGAGGGGAGGAGAGAGAGAGGGGGAGGGAGGTATGAGGGAAGCAGGCTAGGGAATTGAGCAAACTCCACAGCACTTCCGCGCGTCCAGGCGGAGCAGGGACCGCACGGCTCCGCCCTCCCGAGGCCAGGGTGCCACCGCCGGCTTTCCGCCCTCTTTCCTTCTGGCGGGCGCCCCCGCAGCCCGGTCCAGTCCGGGTGGCGGGGATCCGGGAAGTGGACTCGGGAGTCGGGGAGCTGCAAGCTCTCAGCCGCCGAGTAGCCGGTGCCGAGAGCCACCTCTCACCCGGGTTGGAGCGCCGCGCGGGGGAGCTCGCCAGCCGCCGCGGGGCCTCGCCTCCGCCTCCTGGACTCGATCACCCGCTTGCCTTTTCCGTGACGCAAGGGCAGGAAAACTCCGAAAAGTTTGCCGAGCGCCGAGTGGCAAGGAGGGAGCTAAGGACTAGGAGAACCGCGCCGACTACCCTTTCCCGGCCTCCTTACCCGTCTCTCTTGCTCCGATCAGCCTAGGAACTAACAGATACGGGATTGTCCTCAGAGGGGGAGGCGGCAAACTGTGCGACCCTGGTGTCCCGCATGGGATACCCGATGCTGCGAGCCTGATAGGGCCGGGAGCACCCCTGCCTTGGGCAGCTTCCTTCGGTGTGTGTGGGGGTGGGAGGCAAGACTATACTTCTGCGGTGGCAAGGAACAAGCTTAGGCACAGGCGGGTTCTGGGTTGCTTTGTCCTTTCGCGGGAACTGGATCTTCCTTTCCGGCCAGCAACACCAAGGAGAGGGCGTAATCTGGTAGATAGCCTCTAGGCTTCCAGGATTTGATCCTCCAGTTTATGCAAAACGCGGTGAACTGATTAGGACAAGAATTGTGCTAAACTCTGGAGCAAATAGCACAATGGTTGGATTCCTGCCGTGCCCCTCCGGTCTTTAATTCAAACAATCTGTCTCATTAAGTTATGTATTCCAAACAACAAATTAACCGAGTACCGATAATTTGCCAACCCCCTGGAAAGACAACAAAGTAAGAAATTTTACAGGTAGACAAAATGTTCCTGCCTAGTGTGGCCAGTGCCGTGGAAAATTCATGGGAGGGCACTACCTCAGCTTGAGTGGAACGCATATCAGGGATCTTCTCTTTTTCTAGGAGATGTCTGAAGTAACACAAAGACTTTAGCCCAGACCCCTTTCCATGCTGAGCCCTGGAGCATTGTTTACCACCTCCTACCCCTCCCACCACCCCACACCCCCGCTAGAGCTTCCAATCTCCCAAACCTAGTCTTGCTGGTTGCAAATTTACTGGTATAAATTAGTGCTGCTAAAGATTGGGACCTTTAGCTGTTTTGAGGGACATGATTCTCAGACCTCTGGTTCCAAAACTCATTTTCATTGGTACAATCTGGATTTGCCTCCCTAAAAAGATGAACACATAGCTGGTCGCGACATACTTGGGAGGCTGAAGCAGGGGGGTCGTAAGTCTGTGGCCATCATAGTGAGTGCCAGGACAGCCTGGGGCCACAAAGCAGGATCTTATCGAAAGTTAAAAACAGACTGGGGAGGGGCTGAAACAGAACTACCATGAGTTGGAGGTTGGACTACAGTGTGAAACCCTTTCTGAAACAAAACAACAATAAAAAAAACTAGCCGGGTGTGGTGGTGGACACATTTAGTGCCAGAACTTGGGAGACAGAGGCAGGGGGGTGGGCCCATGCTTCAGAAAGCCTATCAACTGTAGTAAGCAAGCTCCTGCAGGGAAGGAGTGTCTACAACAGTACATAGTTAGTACCCAGCAAACACTAAAGAAATGGTTGTTATTGTTAGCCTCAACTAGGAGAAAGGTCTGTGAACAGAGATTATAGGAACAAGAAGAGGCTCTCAAGCAGGTAGGGGAAGGAAGGCCTCCAGCAGAGGCAGTAAGATTTCTACAAGTTTGAGGCCAGTCTGGTCTATCTAGGAGGTTCTAGGAAGGTCCAGCTAGGGCTATATACATAGCTGGACCTTTTCAAAACCAGCAAAAGAAAGCAGCTGGGAGGAAATACAACTGAGCCTTTAGGGTCAAGGCTGTCCATATGGCAGGGGACAAGGAAGGAAGTGTCAGGCTCGTGGGCTAACCTGGTCACTGGGCTTCCCGAGGAGCAACCCCAGCTCTTAACCTACTGATGTGAAAATTCAGTTTTGCTTCACAGCTGTTTTTACCTGAGTAAAATAATCCAGATTCTAGGTTTGTGCACTCTTCTTTTCCTTCCTTCCTTCCTTCCTTCCTTCCTTCCTTCCTTCCTTCCTTCCTTCTTTCCTTCCTTCCTCCTTCTTCTCTTGCTTCCTTCCTTCCTCCTTCCTCCTTCTCTCTCTTCCTTCCTTCCTCCTTCCTCCCTCTCCCTCCCTCCTTTCTTCCTTCGTTTCTTTTCAAGGCAAGGTCTCACTATGAGACAAAACTGAGCTAGAACTTGCATTGTTCCTCCTGCCTTTCTTTCCAAGTGCTTGGGATATAGGAATATACCATAACACCCAGTTTTGTGACAGGTTCTCAAGTGGTCCAGTCTGACCCTCCAACTTGCACAAAATGAAGGCTCTGTAACCCCGGCACACCTTTTTGTAGTCCTCCTGCCTCAGTCTCCTGAGTAGCTATAACAGGCTTGCTTCCTGTATTGTCTTTGCAACCAAACAATTCGGACACACACAGCCATGTTGGATTTAAATATATGCTCTAGGTATGCTTTTTCTAACTCTTAAGGACTACCCAAATTTCCAAACTCCTAGGAAAAACAACAAGTATTTCGGCCTACAGAGATTTCCAGAGCCTCATTAAATTCTAGGGATCCTCTTCAGGTCTATGGGTAACAGGCTTATGGTTACTAGTAAACTGCACTAACTTATGATTTTCCTGCACCCTGCTCATCTCCTGAACCCAAAGATCACAGATTCAACTAGTCTAGTCTCTGTCTTCCATACATCCTGAGATTACAGATAGGCTACCACACTCCCCAGCATTTACATGGGTGCAATGGGATCTGAACTCTGGTCCTCAAAATAAAGCCATAAAGCACTTGACATGCCAAGCCAGTTCTCTAACCCTCTTTTTTCTTTCTTTCTTATTTTTGTTTTTTGGAGATGAGTCTCACTATGTAGTCTTGGCTGGCCTAGAACTTCCTAGATAGACCAGGCTGGCCTCAGACTCAGAGCTCTGTCTGCCTCTACCTTCCAAGTGCTGGGATTAAGGGCATACACCACTATGCTGGGTCCTTTCTTCTCTTTAATTGAACATGTTCTCTTTCCTACTAGGGCCCTATTCATATATAGGAAACAACACCTATCTCTTCTTACCCAGGTGTGAGATGGATTGTCATTGTTGCGGAATGAGCAAGAGCCAGGCAGTGGTGGCACATGACTTTAATCCCAGCACTCCTGAGGCAGTGACAGGCGGTTCTCTGTGAGTTCAAGACCAATCTGGTCTATAGATCGAGTTCCAGGACAGCCAGGACTACACAAAGAAATCCTGTCTCCAAAATAAATCATCAACAACAACTACAAAAAAAAAAAAAAAAAAAAAAAGAAAGAAAGAAAGAAAAAGAAAAAGAGTGAGCAAGGAAGCCTAAGTGGCAGTATAGAATGTGCACTGTTTCTATTACTTTGCAACACAGGAAGCAATGATGAGGGTGGGCCTGTAGTGGGACAAAGGCTGGGGCAAAATAGACCTGGGAGGCCTTTTGGAGGCAGGATAGGCTAGAATGGTAATCACATATTTGAAAATATTTTCCCAGAAGCCGGGCATGGTGGTGAATGCCTGTAATCCCAGAATTTGGGAGGCCGAGGCAGCAGTATCAATAGAGTTAAAATGATCAGGCTTGATGGCATGTGCCTTAAATCCCAGCACTCTGGAGGCAGAGGCAGGCAGATCTCTGTAAATTTGAGGCCTGCCTGGTCTATAGAGTGAGTTCAAGGCCAGCCAGGGCTATGGAATGAGAATCTGTCTACAAACAGACAGACAGGAGTTAAAATGACAGAAACTAGCAGGAGGCATGGGCAGGGAAGAGCAGGTCAGCCCAGTGGCCCGACTGCCTGTCATATATTCAGTCACATGGCAACAGTCCCTACAACCTTTAGGTAGAGGTGCCACTTAGAAGATAACAAAAATAGGGGCTGGAGAGATGGCTCAGCGGTTAAGAGCACTGGCTGCTCTTCCAGAGGTCCTGAGTTCAATTCCCAGCAACCACATGGTGGCTCACAACCATCTATAATGAGATCTGGTGCCCTCTTCTGGCCTGTAAGCATGCATGTAGGCAGAACACTGTATCCATAATAAATAAATAAATCTTTAAAAAAAAAAAAAAAAAAAAAAGAAGATAACAAAAATAAAAAGCAGAATTCTTCTGATATCTGTGGCCTCCAATGAGGATATTTTCTGAACTGCTTGCTGCCTTGGGCTCTTGCCCTACTGAGAATGTTTTATCTGCTCTTACCTTTTCTGCCTTTGAAGAAGCAACCCTAAGATCATTTAGGATCAGACCAGGGATCAGAGCCCACAAACACTGTTGGCACTTCTTTGGCCTCCAATCAGGACATTTTGGGTTCATGGCTGAGGACATGGATTGAGGTCCTATCTCTAAACTTCCTGTCCCATTTTTATCTCCTAGCCTCATCATTCCTGCCAGAAAAGTTAACTCTGAGTGCCATTTAGGGAACTGGGATGGTTTTTATTATGGTTTATTTGGTGTGTGTGTGTGTGTGTGTGTGTGTGTGTGTAGGCTAGAGGTCAACTTGTGGGAGTCTGTTCTCTCATTCCAACATGGGGTTCCAGAAATGGATGGAACTTAGGTGGTCAGGTTTAGCACCTTTACCAACCAACTTACCTCTTAATTCTGCCAATCCCCCTAGGACCTTTTTAAAAAAAAACAAAAACAAAAACAGAGTCTCACTATGTAGCCCTGACTAACCTGCAACTCACTATGTAGACCAGGTTAGCTCCAAACTCAGAGAGATCCACCTGCTTTTGCCTACCAAGTATTGGGATTAAAGGTGTAAACCCTCACTACTTAAAGAAACCCAAGCCAGGCAGTGGTGGCAGAAGCCTTTAACCCAGTCTGGTCTACAGAGTGAGATCCAGGACAGGCACCAAAACTACACAGAGAAACCCTGTCTCGAAAAACCAAAAAACAAAACAAAAGAAACACACACACACACACACACAATACAAATCAACAACAAACAAATGAAAAGCCTTAGGGCTTCTCTACATAGCCCTGGCTGTCCTGGAACTTCATATACATCAAGCTGGTCTTGAACTCACAGAGATCCACCTGTCCTTGCCTCTCCAGTGCTGGAATGAAAGGCATTCGGTACTATTTGGACTTCTAATGGATGTCTCGAACCTACCATCTACAAACTGGAATTTCTGATCTTGCCATCCCCAGATCTGTTCTCTACTTGGATCTTCTTTCTCCATCTCAGGTGATGACGTATATATACATAGCTAAGCTGTTGGGATGTAAAAAAATCATCCTCGATTCTTCTCATCATTTGTCATTCTCCTTTTACAAACATTTCAGTACTGATTTTCTGCCCTCAGGTACCTTCTTTCTGATCTGACCTGGATGCTACAGTAGCCTCCTTATGGTTTCTGTGCACACACACACACACACACACACACACACACACACACACACACAACCACTGTTCCAATACAGCAATCAAGATGATCCTTGGATTTTTTTCGGACTAAAATTTTTGTATTACTTTTATTAATTTTGTGTGTGCTGCAGTGCATGTTTTGGAGGTCGGAGGACAACTTGTGAGACTCAGTTTTCTCCTTTCACCATGTAGGTCCTAGGGACAAACCTCACATCATCAGACGTGGCCGGTTTTTGTTGTTGTTTTTCCTGGAACAGGATTTCTCTTGTAGCTCTGGCTGTCCTGGATCTCACTCTGCAGACCAGGCTGGCCTGGAACTCACAGAGATTGGCCTACCTCTGCCTCCTGAGTGCCAGGATTAAAGGCAAAGGCCTGCACCACCACTGCCCAGAG